GGATTGGAATTTAACAAGGTTCTCGAACCAAGACCCGCCACCTTTCTTGCGCTACATATTTTATGAACGTCGCACTATTCACTGCATAAAAAAATTCGATGAATTATTTATGACCAGGTATTGGTATTACGTAGAATTAGCAGCTTTATTGAAAGCGAGTGTTTCAATTTCAAACAGACTAGGTTAACAGCAAGTTCGGGAAACGCTAGGATGGCCTACAAAGTCTATCCTAGAGAATATGCATCGTCCTGCAATGTTTGAACCGCTGAATCTGTCAAAACCAATTTCTATCGTATTTTTAATATTTAGTGGTTTGCTTTTGCTAATAATTTTCGTTCATATCTTGGAAACCGTGTGGTACTCTTGGGCGAAAATTGTACACTTCTTGATAAGAAAGATGCTAAATATTTTTGATTTTTTCGCACGTGTGATAACACTTGGCCTTCTAAAGGTTAGACGATCAAAAAAAGTTACCAGGATTATGGGAAGGAAGATTACAGAGACGAAAAAATGTTGGCAGTAATGTGGACATAATTAAGAAATAAATTCATTATTAGGTTTGAATCAGGTTATTTAGAGTAAATGAATTATTCAAGTACGTCACACTTCAAGTTTTTACCACCTGTAGATAGTGAAATAAATAAAATAAACTCCAAATGTTTCGAAAATATGTAATTGAGGTATATTTATATTTTAAAGTTTGCCTTGATCATGCAAACAAAATTTTGAATTGTCTTAGACACTTTTGAAAAATGGAATACACATGGTTTGCAGCAATACGGACAGTTTGGCAACCATTACGTTAACAGTTTTGAAATCAATGCTTTTCTAGATCACTTTATTAGTTATTTGTCCTCTGTGCATGATATCTCTGCATCAATAAGTAATATGGTTCTATGGGACTTCCTGGAACGGATAGTGGAATCATCTTGGCAACAGAGCTCATGAAAATTCACCGGACCGTAAGCTGCTAGGACCGGAAACTTCGGTCGTAGGACGGTACTGGACCGGGGACCGAGGACCGATAAATTAATATTTATCACTCTGTATTAGGCCAATGTATGAATCCTCTAGCACTCACGCGAAGCGATGACATGATACATTTGAATGAGAATAATTTTATTTTTTCATGCATTAAAATAAGTAGATTAGTCGTGTTTGTATTTCCAAGAATTCGGTGGGTTTGGCATGAGCTGGAAAATAACTTACAGCCAAAATTATAAATTTTCAAATAGCTAACTCCTTTGAATTCATAAATTAAAAAGTTATCGTACATGGTCACTTGTTTAGGGTGATGTAAATGCATACTTTGTGATTTTTTGTTGCCTGGTATTTGCCTCACTAAGAAAAAAATATAAAAAAACATGTATGCTAAGAATACCTGTGGTCTTAAAGTTTACTTCTTACAGCAGTGTTTTGTCTCCTATTTTGTAAATTAACCAAAAACTACAAAGTGCTCATGACTCTTTGCAAATATCTTTACTCTCCCCCTTCATATTAAGATTTTATCAATACAAACTTAGAGTAAACATAAAATAATTTTTTCTCAGAAAAATAAATTCGGAAATTTTTCTTCTCGTTATTTATTAATTAAATTGATGTGAAGAATCAAGCCTAAACTAAAATGGAGTTGAACGGATACAGTGTAAATAACGTACATTATTGATGGATCGCACAATTCACCATATATCTACGGTCTAAATTTGTGAGAAAATAAGTTTGCATGAAAATCTCAAATAAATTTTAGAGTATTACACTGTAAAACAATATAAAATTCAACTGCTAATTCAATGTCCTAAAAGAATCTAAATAGTACGGCTAAAGCATATGGTTCCGGTTCAGCAAATACTGCCTAACATTAAATTAACTAACCTATCCGATTACAACTCACTACATTCTCAAATGATTCATTCTCAATGACCTGTATTCTCAAAGTTTTAAATTTTCTTTTAAAATAAACTTTTAAAAAGCAATTATGATATACACCTGTAACACGATCTAGGAACACCGCCCTACATGCTGGATCTGAAATTACTTCTACCACAAATATAACATTCAATACAGCAAAGGCCACCATCAACACATAAAATAAAATTCTTTTACAAAAAAGGACTCTTAGGTTCGGCATCGTGGTAAAAAGTGGAAAACAAGTTTATCTTGGATAACAACTTTACCTTAATATTTATTATAATTTGCGATTCCTGCACTATTTACTGAACCGCGGGCCATTTTTTAGCCGAACTGCTTTTATGCGGACAATCGATTATATAAATCTTCAACGGTTGGATCGGAAGAAACTTTGCCCAGATTGTTTTAGGATTCGAAACTAGTATTGAAGTACTAAAAAAATTATTACCGTAACTCGATTTCATTGCCTTTACAATTATTTATTGCAATTATTATTAAGCTTGCAGATAAGTTGTTAAGCTATCATCATACAATATATGTACTTAATTTAAACGTATGAAAGGATTGGCCCGCGGTTCAGCAAATAGTGCAGGAATCGCAAATTATAATAAATATTAAGGTAAAGTTGTTATCCAAGATAAACTTGTTTTCCACTTTTTACCGCGATGCCGAACCTAAGAGTCCTTTTTTGTAAAAGAATTTTATTTTACAGTTTTTATTCGGATCTAATTTATTTTATATCACACTCTAATCGCATAAAGTATTCATTTACAGTTTACGGATTAATTTAATCCTAATGTCTACAATTTATTTAATCCTATAGTAATCATGATAGTATTTTGATTAGGGATATTTATCGCTAATCGTAATCCACTATCCCACGGTTGCTCGAATTAATCCTTAATTTTAATCCAGAATCCCAATATTAATCTACGATCCCCAGGTATTGTTTCGTAACAGGAATTTTTTAAGTTGTCAAATATGTACCCGAATTTGGGTAAAAAATATATTGGTTAGTGTAGGTATTTAATCAAATTTAATATTTAGTGTATGAAATTGGAAAAAATTCCACATTCCAAAATAAGGAGAACGGCAGAGCGAAAAAATAAATTTTCCCTCTTTCTAAACTTCTCTGTACAGCTTTGCATAGCCCGAACAAAGTGTGACTTCCGATGATATTACATTCAGTTCTCTATTAAATTGTCCGATTACTCTTTGCATTAAAAAGCATCAATTTGTTGCAATGGGTCATTCCTGTAGAAAAATTTACAAATTATACATACATCGTATTATTTCATGACAAGTCATTACGGGCGTCAATACCGAATTTCGGCATTCTATGATAAACTCTGAAAATCATTGGGGGTTACTCCATAGGGTACCTCTGGGTGAAAATTTTAACCCAGAGGTAATATTTTCGCTGAAAATATTTCCAATTTAATTTCATATTCTATTATTAAAAACCACCAGAGATTTAGCTTCCAAATTTACAGTTTCTAGGAGCATATTTTAAACGCGGTATGGGTCACCCCAGTGGGGTGACCCCACCCGGTCCCATCAGTTGAAAAATTTTCAATTTTAACCTTCATTTCCGAATTCCTACCTCCACTAGGACCGTCATACCGAGTTTCAGCCTGTTACGACATTTCGAATATTTTGCTCCAAAAGCCAAAAAACTAAGGGTCTCTCCTTTGCTTTTAAATTTGCACACCACTGATATGACCCCACCGGTCCAAATCTTTTTGATCAAACCTATCTTCGAAGTCGGTCGTCGCATTGCCCAGAAACATGTTTCTGCAAAATTTCATCCAAATCAGTCAATCCGTTCAAAACTTATTGTGACACAGACGACGGATGGACAGACAGACAACATGGGTGCAAAAGCACTTAGTTCGGCTAAAACACATAAAATTAACTAGATTTTTTAGTTTGCAAATTTTTCATATTTGCGATGATTAAAAAAATTCGTAAGGAAGTATATCCACCAAATTATTCACACTGGACTACGTATGTGGTGAATTTAATTTTTTTAGACTACCTGATCGACATATACATGTACGCATGAATATTGTCGCCAGGTGTGCTGCAAGGTCGTAGAGTCAAAGGTCGGCAAATAATTGCTTCTCCTCCAAATGCCTCCTCCCTCTCTGGCTACATGAAAATCCCCGTGAAATTGTAAATATATTCATGTTTTGGGCCAGAATCTGGTGGCTCGAAATTTTCTGTTTAATATCTGGTGACCAGATATTAAATATGCAAAATTATTTTGCAAAAAGTCGCCAAATAATTTTTTGACCACCCCCACAATATAAGGGGGTGTGGTGGTAACTTTGACAAAAATTCGTTCATTTTTGATGATGTGAAAGTTAAAAAAAGTTGCAAAAATATAAACCCAAGGAGATTCGAACTCTAGCCTTCCTGCCCAGCAGGCGGAGCGTCTGCCACTATGTCACTCATACAATTGCTTTTAGATGGCCCGGTCATTTGGCTGTAGTTACTATTAGTAATTACATCTATATAACTAAATATATTTCTTAATTGTTGTATCACCAATTCAATAAATTTTTTAGCTCAACACATGTAATGCATGAAAAATAGAGCTTCCCCTAAAGAATAATTTGTACAATTATGGTAATAAGAAAGTCAAAATTTTAATCAGACATCAGCCGTCTGAAAGTTTCAAAATTCGATTGTGACGGAACTACTCAAAATTTTAAAAATTTGAATTTTCGGACCCTGGGAAATGGAATTCTCTAACTATTTTGCCTTTTGTCATTTTTCGATAAGATGCGTCGTTTAGGCGTGAGATTTGTGGGAGTTTTTCAGAGGTGGGTCGGAATGCATACTTAGGCTTCGCCGGGCCCCACTTGCGCATATTGCATTTGCTTTTTGAAACGGGGCCCAGCTTTCCGGCTTTGCCTCACCTAAGAAAAATGCATAATAACACGATTAAGCAGAACATAGATAAAAAATTGTTTCACTCCAATCTGCCTGATAGGTTTATCTCTCCATTATCGAAATAGATATATCTCCAACTTATTAGACAAGTATACAGAGACTGATATCAGATGTGTGGAATACTTGAGTATGCCAACAGAGATACAGCTGGATCTGTTCAATTAGCAGTGCAAAATACAGGAGTTTAAAGAAATCAGATAAACATTTGAAAAGTTTCTGTTTAATTGAACTAAGAAATTCTTAGTAAGAATGCCTCTGAATAATGAGAGAAGATCATTTTGGATCTCGTGCAAGGATTTGTCGGTAGAACCGGCCGGATTCCTCCTCGTGCTCAGCATGGTAGTTTCTACTCTCTTGTTTCAAAATATCAGGATGGAAACGACTTGTCGTGTCGATCTGGGCTACGATATGGAAGTCTGCAAAGAGATTATTAACAAAGTGTAAGCTAATATCGGTTATAAAATTCGCATATTTTTTGTTAAAAGTACGTGATTTTTCAACCAAACTGTACTAACAAAGCGAAGGTGTCAGCGGCTATTCTCAGATTTGAATCGGACCAATTTTAATTTGTTCACCTCTAAAAATAATGGGACCTGTATTTTTTTATATAATGCGCCCATTTGAGCGCGCGGCAGGATTTTCAAATATTTTTCCTATCGCTGTAACTTTTTGAATATTGGCGCGAATTCAAAAAACAAAAAACGTGTATGCTTAGACTTAGATCCTCTACAATATAAAAATTCATTATCAAAAAATTTTGAAAATTCGAATTTTTTCGGGATTTTGAATATTTCGAAATTCATAAATAGTCTAAAAACGCGAATTTCCAAAATTTTTCAAAACTGAATTTTTATATTGTAGGACCCAATCTAATCATACACGTCTTTTGTTTTTTTAATTCGCGCCAAAATTCAAAAAGTTACAGCGATTCGAAAATTTGAAATTTTGGCTGGAAAAATATTTGAAAATCCCGCCACGCGCTAAAATGGGCGCATTATATAAAAAAATACAGGTCCCATCAGTGGCGCAATTAGCACATAAGCAGGGTAGGCAAAAATTACCGCGCCAGCGTGGGCCCCGAGGTTACCTACCTGTATTAAAAATAAAATATCTGTAAATAAAACTGCGTCGCATAGATGTATTTTAAAATGTCAAAATCTTTAATCATAAGGTTATTTTTGGGCTCGTCAATTCTATTTTATTGTGATACCGTAAAAGTTGCACAATTTTAAATCAATAAGCTAGGAAAACATTGGGGGCCTCAATCCGTTTTCGCGATTCTAAAGGTCTGACAGAAAGTTATTGGGACAGTAATTTTTCACAATGTACTCCGCAGCAAACCGGCAATGTGACAAAACGGCAATCCGTTTTGCGGAGTAAAAGCCCCTTGCCGTTTTCCTTTAGACCCTATGCTAAAGCATACAAAGAGGCAATCCGGCAAATGGGCAAAACGGCGCAGCAAAACGGCACAACGGCGCGTCACGAAGCCCAAAACATTTTGCTCACACTGATTTTTTCCCGTCTGGTCGTCATAAATTTGAATGTTGCTTTGACCAAGTGCATATTTTTCTTTGTCATGTGTATCGCAAAGACAAAGGTCCATCGTTGGCATATTTAAAGCTTGTTGCAAACATTGGTGTTGGAGAATTTCGATTTCAGAGGAATTTCTGACTTGAAGATATTGAAAAATACAGTTCTGCTATGGAAGAAGTTATTTTACACAAAAATGTGTAAAAAAAATTGCACATCTGAAAACTACGCGTTTATGCTTTCAGAGAAGTACTATTCCAACAACTTTCTGTCTGCCCATTAATTATGTAATTTAATTTTACGGTCAAATTAGATTTAACAAATGTCAGTCTACCTCAATAAATTTTTGGGTTTATATTCGTTCTTGCCCGATTATATAGATACCGAACATTTTGACCATTGAATACATACTTTTGGCTAAGTCAACATACGAATGTGCACAATGATTTTTGATTTGCCAAAGTGGAACACTGTTCTTATGCCTGGTTTGGGTTAATTTTATTAAGCGTAAATCCAAAATTTCTTCCGCTAAAAGCGCTCAGAATTTTTCTCCAAGAAAATTAATTTCTCCAAGTGCAGTCTGGAAGGTTTGGTTTTTACCTCTATATGAGGAGGAACGTAAGTTCCACACCATACTGATACTTCCTTCCTAATTAAAGAGGAAATTAAGAACCTATGTAGGAACTTAAATTGTTATTCCTCCTTACATATAAGGATGAAGAAATTATTTTGTGATCTAGCATAAAAACAATTGATCTGGGCAACTGTTAAGCAAAATTAACTAGTTTAGCTTCCAATATTACATAAAACATATTTAGTTGGGACGTCAATTTCTCAGGTGAGGAACTGGGTGAAAATTATGATTTGAAATCAATGGGACGGTCATAATACTCTACAAGTGTAGAGGAACTGGGAGAGTGCTTACTACCCTGAGTGGCGGAATTTAATACGGTGGATATTGTAGCTAATATTTAATTAATCTATGATTCAAATTTCTTCGATATCACCCAATTATTGACCAAACTCGCTACGTGGAGAAAACATGAGAAAACATGAGTAGTTTACAAAGCGGTCAAAAGGCCATTACTGCTTCAAATGATTAATTAACACATGATAAATTTAGAAAAACCTATATAATTTTCCACTTTTTTTGCCTAGGGGCCCCCAAATTATAGTTGCGCCACTGGGTCCCATTATTTTTAGAGGTGAACAAATTAAAATTGGTCCGATTCAAATCTGAGATTAGCCGTTGACACCTTCCCATTGTAAGCTTCCCGAGATCGATTTTAGAAATTTAAAAACCCAACCATTTATTTTTACTAATTCAAGCCTGATATGTTTAGCAACATCACTTACAAAACAGAGGAGCGCGAAATTCAAAAAGCCGTCGCGGGTATTCAAGCCGTCACGTCCGTCGTGTTCAGCTGTATCACCGTCTTCGTCGTGTTCTTCACCGGACCATGGAGTGACACCCACGGGCGGAAAATTCCCCTCGTCATCTCAACCATGGGATTAATGTTAATGCCAACGATGATGATCGTTGGCTACCTATGCCTCGGAAAAATTAGCGCCGTCTACATCTCACTTCTCGCCATGTTGCCGACCACCTTGAGCGGCGGCGCTACAGTGTACTCTATGTCGGCGGGATCGTACATTTGCGATACGACAACGCCGAAAAACAGGACGGTGAGAATGGGCGTCTTCTGGGCATCCGTGAGATCCAGTACGCCCATCGGGTTCATGCTTGGCGGACTCTTAATGAAGTGTCAAGTCGGAATGGTAAAGTCGCTACTAATTCCTGTGGGATTATCGGGATTAGCGTTTCTTATAGTGTTCTTGAAGGTCAGAAACGGAAAACCGGAGGCAGTCTTTATCGATAGCGGGGAAAATGGCGGGACCGCTAAATATAGCGGGGAAAACGATGAGGTGGAAAAATTTAGTGGGGAAAGAGATACGATTGAAAAATTTAGCGGGAAAAATGATAGGACCGCTAAATATAGCGGGGACAAACCTTGCTGGAGAAAATACAACCCGGTAACGAATTTGATACAAGTGTTTGGGATGCTGTTTCAAAAGCGGGAGCACGCTTTGTGGTTCTACTTGCTGATTTTGGCCCACATTTGCTACGCTTCGCCAGGTGCTGAGCAATCACTTGTGTACCTCTTCGTCAGGGAGAGACTTCAGTGGAATATCAGCAATTTTGGGTTCTTTTCAATGATTAACTGGGTGCTGAGTGCGGGTGGGGTTTTTCTTTCGATGTTTGTGTTAAGCAAAACTCTTAAACTGTCCGATCCACTAGTGGGATTTGTGTCAGGAATAAGCCAGATTTCGGGATCGACAATGTACGCGTTTACTACGACGCGGATAATGATGTTTTGCGGTAAGTAGTCATGCGAGTAAACACGCCACGCTAATATTTTTTGCGTGACGCATTCTCACTGTGGACATTATTTTTAGTTTGTAACGACTAAAAGCTTCTTTTTACTGGAGAGTTTAAAAAAGTGGGAAAATTTGTGGGAAATTGGAAAAATTAAAAAAAAATTTGGGATAACTGGATACTGGATGATGCTTAGTTTCCCAGTCTTATCCATTTCCCGCTTTTCCTTGTCTCTCGTTTTCCGCTTATTCCCATCCCATGGGAAACCCGTTGCAGTTTCACTTTTCATTTGGATAGGAAATATTAAAAATAGAATAATTTATATATTTTAAAATTCAATGATTTAACTTCTAAAATATTTAGCAATTTTCACAACTTTATACAGCCTCCGTCCTGGACATGATGAATGGCACAATTGGAGTTGTTGTTAAATCCATGCTCTCAAAATCGGTGGCGATTAACGAAGTCGGTAAATTATTCGCACTACTGGGCGCGATTGACAGCCTTCTCCCATTGGTCACCATGCCAACGTACGCTTTCGTGTATCGCAGTACGGTAACATTCTTCTCAGGAGCTTTCTTCCTCCTCTCGGCAGGGATAACGCTACCCGTGGAAATTATTTTTATGTAAGAATATTAAGGTTTTATGAGCTATTGGCTTTTTTGTTGAACGACATTAGTGAGGGACAAGCTACATTTCGTGTAGCTTGTCCCTCAATTAAATAGTTTTCCACAATGATTCACACATAAGACATACATAATTTTACGAAACGAATTGTGATAATTATTATAAACGTGACAAACTTTTCCAACCAATGAATTGTATAATTTAGGCGAAGTAATGTTCCGTAAAATATTTAAATTTTTCCTCTTGGCGATTAATTCTTGTGAGTGGTGATTATGATAATTAATTTCTCCCAGTTTTTCCCATCACAGTTGATTTATGCAAACAATATGAACAAGGAAGTCGCAGATGATACGATGAAGCTACAAATCAAATGCATGCATATTAGCGAAATGTATAATATTTTATAGCCCAATTTATCCAACAAAATCTACACATTTGAAGTACATCCCGTCGTAAAGCTGTTTTCATTCTGCAAGCACTACTAACCTAGAGAGCAATTAAAATATAAATAAATCAAAGTTCGCCAAAGAAAACCTTTAAATTCATAAGCGAACGGATGCAATAAAAATGAGAGATTATAAACCAGATCGTTAATTGAAGTACCGGCTTTACTTTGCATAAGTCAGGCAGATGCAATTTTGGTGGCGATATATATTGGATATCTACGAGATTAGAATTTCGAGGTACTTTGCTCATAAAACTGACTTCTTATCCTTTACCTAATCTAAATAAAATTTTGGGGAATTTGTCTGCTTTAAGAATATTTGAGTTTATCTTCTTTACACATTGTACACAAATTTGTATACTGAATAATATGGATTGTATGTATTTCGGGTCATACTTGTACTTTCTACCGAGAGGGCAGTTGCGCAATATTATATTTCTTCCAGACTTTTCGGTAACTAATTCATAGATTTATTTTTGCGTATTTAAGCGTCCGAAGAATAATTAGGGGTTCCAGTTGTTATTTAACAGCATCCAACAAACCAGCCTTTTTCAATTTGTTTCAAATAAAGATTTTTGGTTTTACCGAATTTATAAATTTGATTGGAAATTATATTTCTCATCTAATCTTATAGGAATGGGTGGAGATATTGGTAAGCTTTTTGCAAAATTCAAATAAAATAGAAACTCGAGGTGAAACAAAGTAAAAATCTACCGAAATTTGCAGAAATTGAATTATTTTTATTCCTGTATTTATCACATTTTTATATTTTTTTGGGCAATAAATTACTCATTTCTGATCGCTAAAAAAATTTACTGGAATTTTAGCGTGTGGCGGGATTTCAATTATTTACCCCGCCTAGTTCCCTAATTTTCTAATCGCTATAGTTTTTAAATATTGAAGCGAATTCGAAAGATCTAAAAAGATGTATTTTTAGAATTCCTTCCTTTGGAATATAAAAATTCAGTTTAAAAAATTTTGAAAATTAATATTTTCGGGGTTTTGTATATTTCGAAATTCAAAAATTGGTAAGTCTTGCAATTTTGAATTAATTTTCTGCAACTGTTTAGGGAGTCAGATGTGGATAACGTACGCCGGAGATGACAAGGAAGCGGAAGCGTGGAAATGTATCGGCCTGGGACGGTCTCTAAGGCGAAGTTTGACCACGAGACCGCTCGGTGTCATTATTTCCGAAGACGTATCACAGGAGATGAAGTAAGTTATTTTTCACATTGTTCACCATGTCATGACGACGCGCATAAATACAACTAAAAAGAGTCCATGTAGATATCTAAGTTTGTCATACAATTGGATTTAATTGCGCTAACAATTCAGGTTTATAACTCCGACCGTCATGCGAAAAATTTTATTTTGTTCCGCATCAGAAATTAACGAATGGCCTTTTTTCTAATAAATTTACTCAATTTTAGCGTGTGGCAGGAATTTCAAATATATACCCAGCCAATACCTCGAATGTTCAAATCACCGATTTGAAATCGCTATAGTCTTTTCGAATTGTGTCGCGATTTCAAAATCTAAAATAAGCATGTTTAGAATTACTTCCTTAACAAAATTTTAAATTTTAAATTTTAAAATTTTCTACAAATTTTTAATATTCGAGTTTTCACCAATTTTTTTATTTCGAAATATATAAAAAAATTTATGTTCCAATGGAAGGAATTAAAAAAATACATCTTTTTAGAATTTTGAACTCGCTCCAATAATTAAAAAGCTGTAGCGATTTTAAAATTCTAAGACTTGGCGGGGTAAATATTTTAAAACTCCGCCACACGCTAAAATTCTAGCAAATTTATTAGAAAAACTCCCAAATTATGAGTTCGCTTACTCTTGATGCGTAACAACGCAAAATTGTTTTCATCACGGTAGGATTTTTACATGAATAAAACTGAATTGTAAGTGTTACTTTAAGCAGTTCCACGGAGCATATTTCAGAGTCGACATTAAATAGCGTGAAAAGGAAAACTAATTTATTAGATTAGTAAAATATTGCAAATTAGACAATAACTACTAAAAGCGGATAGCGATATTTTTTCATAAATCTCACTAATAAATTTTATGAAGTTTCCATATAGCATGCTAAACGTGCTAAAATTGCATATTTCTAATTGATATGTTCAATTATACAATTTGTACATGCTATACAAATATATTTTAGAATAGTATTCATTCGTTATTAAACGCCTACATAAGAACTTAATAGCTGAACATAAGTCCTTGAAATACTTATTTTGATAAGTGTTCATCAAAATAAAAATAATTGTATGAACCTGATTTTAGAGATTTACTAAAAGGCGTGGAGATGAAGTAGGTTGTTTTTCAGAACATTGTTCACAACGTTGATAATTCGTGTACAAATTGTGATAAATATTGTTTAAATAATATGCGAACCTCAATAGTTGACGTTTGTTTATGCTGTTAATCGAATTATAAATAATTTTATGCATTTAAATTTAGGGAGCTACTGAAATCCGAGTTTCAAGTTTGTCGCCGTATAAACCCAAGGGGAAAACCTAAGGATGGGAGAAACTTGCAATTCCGCTCACTGGCAAAACTTGACATCCTCCGAATTCCTCAACTCAAAGGCAGCGTATTTCTAGACTGCAATTGCCTCGTTCTGAAAAATTGCGACTCAATCTTCCGCGACAAAGGTATGCAGTGGATCGACACGGATGAGCATCGTCATGCTGCAATTTTTGTCAACTCGAAACATGGAAAGAGAACTGGAATGATGATTGATCAAATTGTTGAAATTGAAAATGAAAATGACACCACTTGCACGAAAAATAGTATTGCTCAGCTCGAGGAATTCTACGGAAAACTTACCTACTGTAAAGAGGTTAACATTTCCTAGTCAGTTACATAAAACTACAAAAGTAGAGATAAATATATATATTACTGATATTATTAATTTGACACATTATAGAATACGTAATAAATATCTGTATTTCAGCGAATATCCCCAAGCAGTTAATGGAGATGATGTGAAGATGGTGTATTTCATGAATGGAGGTCATCCCATGGAAGTATCATGTCAAAAGTTCTACACCTTTGAGTATGATTTGACGAAAATTTGGAATTCACTTGTATCTCCGATCCGTTCTAAAGAACTGGTAAATAATTTGTTTTCTATCTTGCGACATCTAACACTTTGAGTTTCATTTCTCTTTCTTATATCTCATTTATTATATCTCATTTACTACGAATTACATCCAACTAGAAAAATTTCAACTAGACTAATTCTCTAGCTAGAATAATTTTGAGGGACGGATTTTTTTAATTTACGGCTTTCAAAAGATTTGAAACAGAAGTAATATGTACTGTAATCATTTGGAGATTTCTAACAATATATGCGATATTAGTGTGCAGTGAAGGATAATTATGAGGACGGTATTCGTTATGTAGTTGGAGTTTTGTTGGTAATAAGGCGATCGAATGTCACACGGATATTAAAGTTCATTTTAGTTACTGTGAATTTAATTCTTAAGTCATTACGAATTATGTAAATTTTGACTACTTAATTTAGAGTGACTGGTGGGACATGTGACTGACTCTGATAAAGTCACGAGCGAGAATAAGTGCTGAAGGCCATAATTTTGGTGGTAAAATAAAGTCACAATAAAATCGACGTTCAGACTGAAGGACTTACACAAATTTTCCGACAAAGTTAGAGACAAAGAACTTGTGTCGACACATTAAATCCCTAATACACACTGTGCCCACCTGATTATCATAAATAGATCAACTACTTCTCAATGATACTCAATGTGAAATCTTCTCTTTCATATATAATATATACATATATTATTATCATGAAATGCAATCTCCACGACATGTATTGAAGAAAAAACTGGAAAATTAGCAGATGGTGAAAGCTCTCCTCAATATACACAAGATTTAGTAATAAACCCGAATAATCTTAACTTTATGAACTAATTACCTAACAATCATTTTACAGTTTGATCCTATTCTGAAATGCTGGAAAACGAACTTTGTAACTCAATCGCAATTGTCGGGATGGCTTGCAGATATCCAGGTGCGAACAATATTGACGAATTCTGGTCATTATTGGAAAACGGAATCGATGGAATTGTACGCGTCCCAGAATGGAGGTGGACAAAAGATAGTGCCTTTATCATGATGGATGGCGTCCGCCAAACAGAGGCTGGATTTTTATCTTGCCCACTGGATATGTTTGATGCAAAATTCTTTAACACGAATCAAGCCGACTTGAGATATCTGGACCCGCAGCAACGTATTGCACTTAAGGTTGTATGGGAAGCCTTGGAGGATGCCTGCATTGACCCATCAACCTTAAAGAATACTATCACCGGAGTATTTGGCGGCTGGTGGCGAAATGACTTTAAAGAAATTCTACAGCCTGGGGGAATTGCTGGTGCTAGTGACTTTTGAAAGAAATTTCTAAGAGGGTTACTTGCAAATATTTATGACGAGTCGGCATCTAGGATACAACAAATTGATGGCGAGCAATTTTGGATAGAGTACGACTCAGCTATTGGAATAGAGGCGCGTGAAAACATCTTGCGCAAATATGTAAAACAGATTATACGAGTTACGTTACAAATGAACGAAAATGAGCAAATTGACGACCATGCAAATTTTCAAGATTTGGGAATGGATTCCTTGATGATGGTGGAAATGAAAAATGGATTACAATCATCTGTCGGGAAGAGAGTTAAAATATCAATCAATTCAGTTAAGGATTGCAAAACAGTTGCAGAATTATCCGCCCGTTTGGTGGACCTCATTTCTGGAAATGAATCAATCCCGAACCTCACCCGATCTGAACTAAAGGAACTAGTCATTCAAGATGCACAATTACCGGATACGATTCAAGTTGGTTACGACATAGTATCCACTTTGTGTCCCATAAACGATATTTCGACGGTTTTAATTACTGGGGTAACAGGTACCCTCGGCCCGTATATACTGCGAGAATTACGATACAAGTATCCATACATTAAAAAAGTTTATTGCCTTTTGAGACCAAATTCTTTACTTTCAACCGATGATCGCTTCAGACGATGTATGCAAGCCAAAAATATACTCTCCATTGAAGACTTGGAAGGTTGGGTGGAAACGATAACAGGGGATGTGGGAAAAGAATTGATAGGGATGAATTCTACAACCTACTCCAAAATATCTTCTGAAGTAGATGCAGTACTCAATTTAGCAGTCAACGTAACCCTTCCTGAAAGATATAGTAATACGAAAAACCCGCACAGCAGCAGAATAATAAACGTACAAGGGTTTAAGAATATCCTCGAATTTGCTGTGGCAAACAAATTGAAATACGTCTACCAAGTTTCGTCCATCGGAGCCGAACAAGAATTAGGGGAAGATGAGATTTACAAGGAAACGTGGCCTAATCTAGAACAAGTTGATCAATTTCCCAACTCTGCTTACATAATTTCTAAATTAATATGTGACAATCTTGCAGAACAAGCAGTTTCTCGGGGTGTTCCTTGCAAAGTTTTCCGCATGCCGAATATTTGTGGCGATAGCCAAATTGGTGGAAATATTTCTCTAGAAAACTTCCTAATGACGCGGTTCTTGGCTTATATGCATCTCGGGTATATGATAGCTGAGAAAGTTCCCATCTGCATGATGCCGGTCGATCTATGTGCGGAATACTCGCTGAGATTGTTCTTTATGGAGGACACACCTTATGAAATGTACAACGTGATTAATCCAGACTTGGGTAAGTTTTTAATGTAGATATTGTATTTGTGTTGCTGGGTAGAATTAACTAAGAATTTGTATATTGTAGGTGACGAACGCGAGTTTGATGAACTAGCTAAAGATTTGGGATCAAGGTCGATGTACTGGAACCTGATGACTTTTTCGATCTACTCAGAAGCTTGGTTGACACGAACTCCACCATGAACGAATACATCAGGCAAATCCTGGAGTACGAAGATGACCGCAGACGGATACTCGAGGAACCCCCGGCATTCTATATGCCTTTCCTTCAGGGGAAAAAAGATATTACTTGGAGTAAAAAACTGGCTCATTTTATTCCTGACATTTATCCATCCATGATTATCCCGTCGTGGGACATACTTCGTAGAGATCTGACTTTGGCAAAAAAGAGTGGGGTATTTGATAAATATCGGATCAAGTACACAGATTAATTTAATCAGGAGTATTTACATTCAAGAGCAATTCCAATGATTCTACTTAAATTCGAGCTAACAAAATCTGACATGTTTTTTTCTAAAATACACAAGTTAGAATTTTTACCTTATTAATATCTACTATTCTAATCTCTTCTTTCCCTTTTGGAAGAACATAATCTAAATTAGGACATCAATTTGTAAAGTTTGTGCGTGTTTCTGCAATAAAGATATTTTGATTTCATATGTATATACCTTTAAATATATTCGTGTAAAATATATGTACATAAGATATCTCGTTGAAAATTACCAACTAAATCAAGTATTTACATAAACATGAAATACATAAAGTAGCACTATAGTATACATAAATTTCCTCATTGCTACCGTGACCACCACATGCAGCACAATATCTAAAAATTTGTGTCCTTAGAGTTGATTGAAAATATAAATAATATGCGGTACTATGCCCCCTCTAACCCTGAAGAAGCCCAAACTCATCTACAGTTACATTCTCTCTGCCTACATGGTCCACAAAACATGAATTTCATATGAGAAGCAAAAATCTTACATGGTTAAATTTACATTTGCAAATTCACATACGTTTACTTATCGGTAAGTATGGCTTATGTATCATTCTAAATAGTTACTCTCTGCCTCATAAAATATTCGACATTTGAATATCATTGCAGGGATATAAATGTGGAGTAGGCGTATAGTACGCCTTTATCATTTAGTAGACCGCATGTGCCCGGTATATGAACACTCTGCAGAGGTTTCCACGTTACGTTGACGTGAACGCGGCATCATATTGTTCGCTTTCCCGTTCGCCTGGGTGACTAAGTATACCGAATATGCGACCGGTTTAAGTAATAAAGAAAACCAGGGCTATCATATGAGTGTGGCCGACGATCTGGCATACGACAGCTATAGACAGCTTTTCGCCCTTCGACTTCAGCACATTTGGTCAGAGTAAGATAAGGTAAGACGGCTGCCCTGTGATTCTGACGACGTTTACGTTCTCAGAACGAACGTAGACTCTCAGCCATCACATTCACTTCTGTCTTCCTTTCATGTAGCCTGTGTATGCAACACTCGCTTTAGAAAGATAGAGGTTAGGGGGAAATATGAAATTCTGTTGTTTGTGAAGACGCGGCTAAATTTTTCAGTAAGGCCCCGTCATACTGACCTGGTGCTACGGGCTCCATAAAACAGGTTAGTTAAAAATACGTATGCACAACCATATTTTTATTTCCAATCAAATTTTAGTAGGATTGTAATTCTTCCAAATTTTGACATAAATACATGCTATACAGTTTAATATCTCATAAAGAGCATTCCGTGCCCTGTCACGTTTGGCACCCTTGCTCCGCTGACATAATCCATCTTAAGGGACTTTCGTTTGTAAATCAAAAGTGAGCTGTTGTAACATGTAGCGGTTCCGGTGTAATTGTTGTTACTAAACACAGTCCAACTTGACCCTCCAGTAATCGTTATCCCTTTGGGAGGAAATCCAAAATCGTTCGCCCTCAAGCCTGTAAATGTCTTTTCTTCTCCGCCCCAATTGGACTCGTAAGTCCCACCGTAGACTGAAAAGGAAGGAGTTGATACGTCCAAAGGGCCCAGATACCTCAAAGACATCATGGTAGGAAGGGTGACGTTCTCGCAAAATAAATTACCATCATATGCCGTGGTCCTGAATTTAAAATTGTGGTAATTGGGCCAATGGAATCCTCGCCAGCTGAAATAATAAAACACAATTAAAAAATTATTTTACCACTAAGTTAAAGCCTTAATTTACTCAATAAACCCTTCAAACTATTCGCCTGGTGGTGACTACGATCTGCATGACTCTACCATATTCGTTTTTCTTGTTAGCGTGCAGTTGCGGTATGTCACCTCCCGGTAATAAATTTCTACAAATTCGCTGGTGATCGCGATGTGACAACGTTAAAACCAAAGGGTCATCCGGTTGTAAACATATTAACGCCTATTACCTAACTTCTTATATAATACACATATTTGCGACCTTTAATTTAACATAATTCTTACAATCCTCTAGCGCAATATGACGTAACGTCCGCCAGTAGGGGTTGATATAGCGTGAGATCTGGTTCTTTCGAGGTGAAAGTTTTTGCTTCCCAGATCGAGCCAGGCCTTGTGTAGAAGGTGATCTCCTGAACGAAACTACGGCAAATGTGAAGGCAGGCGACGACGAGTAAAAAACGAAGCAACATTTTGCTCATGTCTGTCAAGAAGTTAAATTAAATGACATTGGCCAGGAAAGTTGTCATTTTATACCATCAATGTGCGTCACACAGCACGTAAAGTCCAAATTGATTTGGTGAATTATATTAATTATAGATTGTCCATTGACGCAAATCTTTAATCAACTTTACATTGACACGACAATTTGTTATGTAACTGTTGATTATGTAGCTCAGAAGTGATAAGATATCCAGAGTGCCCAATAATTTATGGATGTTGAGTGGTCATGGTTTGTTAAATGGGTACAAAATCATCTGACATATTGCAATCGGAATGTATACATTACTTTCTGACATGCATCGAATAATGACCATCGAGTTATCAATTAAAACAACTTCGTTGATTTGACAAGATTTGGGAAGAATTTAACTCTTCCAACAATCTTGCGCCATTGGGTAAAGCCATTGGGGTATTATGTTTTTAATATTTGGTCGAACCCCACCAACACTAACCAGGAAATTGTGATGATGTGGCATGATTATCATGGCCAGTATCAAGTCACCCAAAAGAATTACAATGGGACCAGTTTTGTAATTTTTGGAATCATTAAGACTAACAATTATTTTCTTGTAGTCACGAATAAATGTTGAGGAAATAGCTACCCAATTGCAAAAGCAAGTCTGCTATTACAATTTAGTTTATAGCAACATATAAAGCCGGAATCTTTATTTACTTGTTTATTTTCAATAACGTAGGCAATACATTACTAATTTAATGAGTAATTTACAAAAGTTGAGCATATTCAATCGATAGATTCAACCTTAATAATAATTTACATACAGAAGACATCTACCAGAAATTTATACGTCGTAATAGATTTTGAAAAAATAAAGGACTAGACAGAATAATTTATCAGAATTTTGTTTTAAAAATATCAGGAAGGATTAACTGATTTAGAAGAATTGCTAAATTTCATAAATTTGTAAGATCAAAATAATCCATTTGTTCTGGGAAAATTAGGAAGGGTCATAATTCTAACTACTTAATAAACTTAGTACTTAATACCTAACAAACTTAAGTCACTTATTGAGCCAACCGAGGCAATTGTGCCGTGTGGCCTATGCGGCATGGGTAATTATTTATTACTGAAAGGCAGCAAATCTTCAGCTGCTAAATCTTCATTTCATTTCACAAGATCGATGTCTTCTAAGCATTCAGTAAACAAATAATTGAATCAGCGATACTTTATATTTTAACACCACTCATCGTTAATCGTCGTTCATCTCTTTAACAAACTTTTACAAGTATAATTATTAAACAATTAATGTATAAGTATGAAGACAACTAAAATGTCAACAATAAATTCACCGAGTGGTTCGCAACATTCCACACAAGCAAAGCCTTCCATGACTTATTAAACGGTCCGAAAGGCCCCACGTCCATCCCCACCTTAGCCAAGGAGCGGCACAACCTCACCGCATATTTCGAGTAGCACCGCCCCTTCAAAATCCCCAAAAGAATTTCCGACCTGTCCCACACCAGCGACGCCTCCGGCAGTATCATCAAAATTAGCAAAAATCCTGCCAAACTTGTCCCCGGAGCAATCCAATATATCATCCAGGAAATCCTTCCAGGCATCCTTATCGTCAAATAATTCGCGAAAACTAGAGTACACATGCCAAAAAATACTACAGGTGGAAGAGCAAAGTAAACATAGTTTTGGTTGCAATAGCGAATCCAAATTTGTAGTTCCTTATAAACTTTAATAATCCTGATTTCGGATTTCCCAAACTTTTCCAGCACTTTTAAGCAACGCGCCATTATTTGAAGCGATCCCGCTAAAATTAGCTGCCCGACGATAGATAAGCTGAATGCCGATGCGAGCCCTTCCTCAATAACCCAGATTAATGCGAGGATTCGTAGCGGGATTATGATGAAGTTAGACCATTGGAATATCAAGGCTTCTCCGAGAGCGTGGAACAGATCAATGTCTAGCCAAACACAGATAGGTACCACGAATGGAAAAAGTAAAGGGGAAAGTCGAATATCCAGTTGCAAAATTAACTCCAAATTTATATTTTGGGGTGCTTTATGTCCGATTTTCCCTAAACCTAAGAAATCAATAATGAATTATTTAGTTATATAAATAAATGAAGAGACATTTATCCAACTCTAAATCCATAAGAGGTTGAGCCATAACGAAAACAGGAAATTCTTTGAAATTAAATATCTACCACTTTTCTCAAAATTTATTTAAATTAAAGTACAAATAAATATGTATAAATTTGTAAACACAAAATATAAATAAATAAATAAAAACAAATTTAAAATTTAAACAATATAGAAATAGGAATGGCATATTGAAATAAAACCAGATTTCGAGGTTTGTTTGTTTGTTTGTTTAGGCATTTATTCACATGTTATTTCTTGTCAGTACAATTTAATGACTGGTTTCCACAAGTAACACGAAAAAGAAGAGATTAGCAAAGAGGCTTTCTACACACTAAATATATCTATGTATAAAATGATTAAAGTTAAAAGTATTGATAAATTAAACATACATATTACTTCTCTTAGTCATAACAAAATCAGTCAGACGAGCTCTGACATTACCTGATATTTTTGGGTCAACATTTAATATTTCACTAATTGTATCTCCACTCGAACTATTCCATATTTGCACCGAAAAATATTGAACAGACTTAGAAAACAGTGCAGATTTGTGAACTGCTAATTGTAACTTTTGAGAGCAACGAGTGTGATATCCTGATACTACATACTTGTACATATTGGCAAATTCTAGAATATTTGTGCCAAATTTCTTAATTTTAAACAAATTCCACAATGAATAGTATTGGAGTCTCTCTGTTAAAGATAATAGATTAAATTTATCCAACAAGTCATACATATTTATATCAGAATGAAGACTTCTACATTCAACTTTTGCCTTCTCTAACATTTTACAATCAGACTGGGCCTTCCAGTATGTTTTAGTATAAAACTTTGATAATTTAGGATAACAATAAATCTTAATGAGATTTGTAACCTTAGATTGGATGTTAGCAAAATCGTTTATACGACTAGGCCCCCAAATCGTCAGACAATAATCGGTAACAGAATTGACATGAGCATTAATTAGTATAGTAAGCATATATGGTGTTAAAAATCTCCTTAATCTATGTAACATACCAATATTCACACATACTTTTTTAGCTACACTTTCACAATGATTTTTAAACGTAAAATGCTCATCAATAATTACTCCTAGATACTTGTAATGACTCACCCTTTCAATTTCCACATCATTAATAACTATCGGTTGTATAACATTTGGTAATTTTTTACATTGAGTTTTGCGTATTATCATAACCTTGGTCTTAAAGTAATTCATAGATAGCCCTTTTTTGATGAGCCATTCACTAAGGTTTGACATTTTCACATTCATTTTGGCAATTACATCATTTAAATTCTCGCCTGACAGTGCTACAGATAAATCGTCGGCAAACCCAGTGTAAAAACATTCAGTCAGAACTTCAGCAATATTGTTAAAAAACAAAATAAACAGATTAGGTCCGGTCACGAAACCTTGACCTATACCTCTATTAACTACACAGCGACTCGACATATATTTACCAAGTTTAATAGAATAGTGCCTATTCTTTAAAAAGTTACTTATAAGTATTACTAATTTAGCATTCAATTTATAAACATTGATTAACATTTTAAGAAGGTGATAATGGGAAAGAGAATCAAACCCTTTTCGTAAATCAATAAAACATACTACTACATAGTTATTCGGTTTGTCAAGTTGGTTAAAAATATTTTGAGAAAATACAGTTAGTGCAGTAGTACATGATCTGCCATTTCTAAAACCATGCTGGTTATTATCAAGTACATTTTTTGCTTCAATACCTGACATTAATTTACGCTTGAGCACGTATTCAAATAATTTGCTAATTGACAAGAGTGAGGCTATAGGACGATAATTATTTGGATCTACAAGTGAACCTTTCCCCTTAAACAATGGTAAAACAATAGCCTCTTTAAATCTAGTTGGATAATTACAAGTTGCAAAAATTGTGCTAAAAAATATTGACAATGGAATAACAAGAGAAGGAAGTAAAGGTTTCATAATTTTTATAGGTATCTTATCTTGAATAGATGATTTTGGTTTCAACTTATAAATACACTCAAGTACATCTGCAGGAGTAATAATTATATTAGACAAATCCTCGGCAGCAGCATTATCTAATAAATTACGCAATTCAACTTTCTCTGAATCTGTAGTTTCATCTTCTAAAATAAATGTACTACATAGAAGTTCTGCAATTTTATCTTTATCATTAACAGTTTGACCATCATCCAGTTTAAGTTGTTTAACATCGTTTGACTGCTTGATAGATTTACCAGTTAATTTATCGTAAGTTTTCCAAATAGAATTGGACTCTAGCTTAGCAAACTGATCTTTAAAATAATGACGCTTTTTAAAAGATATTCGATTTTTTGCAAAATTACGAAATCGGTTATACTCACGCTTTAAATCTGGTGAAGGATTTCTATCTAAACTATTCTTTAACTTGTCTCTCCTACGAATTAATTCTATAATCTCACTGTCCATCCATTCCACTGCATTACCTCTAATTCTTTTACGCTTAATCGGACAAACTACATCAACATAACTTAAAACTGTTTGCTCTAACATATCAAATTGTAAATTAACATCTAAAGTTTCTGATAAACAAGACCAATCAGTTTTAGCAAGGTACTCGCCAACAAGCGGTGCATTAAAATTCTTAATCGAACGAAATTCAATTATTTTTGAAGTATGTTTGGGTTGTTTGGAATTGCTAACTAAATAAGTGAAACGGTGATCTGAAGTTGTGACCGAAAAGACGCCACACTGTTTAACACTACTTGGATTAGAAACATAAATGTGATCTAAAAGTGTCTGAGAGGTTAGGCTAACTCTAGTCGGATCTTCCACAATTTGAGAAATACCTATACTATTTACAACATTACATAAACGAATTTTGGCAAGAGAGTCAGCCAACAAATCTATGTTGAGGTCGCCCATAATAAAATAATTAACTTTATCCCTACTAACTAAATGTAATAAAGATTCCAGTGAGTCAATAAATTGTAACTTATTTACATGTGGAGGGTTATAGATTAAAACAACAATAACAGGTTTTGAAAACGATGGGAAGAGTTGAACGACGTTGACTTCAGTTTCATGAGGAAATCCCACGTCGTAATATACAGGTAGAAATTTCAAGTCTTCCTCGATGTACATTCCTGATCCTCCTCCTCCTCGCGTTTCCCTATCGAATCGAAGGAAATGATATCCTTCGACATGAAATTCAGATGTGAGAGCATCCTGGCTGAGTCTCGTTTCAGTAACGCCACAAAAGGAAAAAGGATACGTCATTAGAAAATTTCGAAAGTTTCGTATCTTTGTGGTTCAACCTTTTCTAACGTCTATAATTATTTACCTTTAATTTGTCTACCAAATTCCACAATCGGATTGACGACTTGACAAATTAACTCCGGTCGAAATCCTTTCGTCACACTCGCCTGGATAAACATGGGGATTACAAAAGTAGCGTAAAGCAAGGCTATGAGCCGCAGCGTGTCGATGTCGCTATTTCCTATTCCTATCCGACCACGAAGTAATTTCCAAAGTATGAGGAGGAAACTTAACGCAACGAACGTAATTAAAAGAACGGACGACAATTTAAAAAATCCACGCTTTACATAAGACGAACTTTGCACGTATATTTTTCTTTGGTGTAGGAAGATTTCGTAGGGGTGGAAATATTGAAATACGGTTTGGTATATTGTCAAGTTTATCCATAATCCGGGCGAAATTAAGTCATCTTCGGTTACAAGGAGGGGCTTTGGTGGTAAAAATTTTTTAACAAGTTTTTTAATCCAGTTTAAAATCCAGTTTATTATTTTTTTGCTAGTAGTCATGACTATCTTTTAGAATAATATTTTTAGAAAATAGCTAAGAAATTGCAATGTCTGCTGCTAAGATGGGAAATTTGGTTTTAAATAACACGTCAGACCACAGAAATCTAATCTAAATTCTAAATAACCTAGTTTATATAATCTAATCGAAAAATTTACTTACTAGTTTTCAATAAAGAATTATATAACTTCATTCCTAATCTGATTATGTAGACGTTGAAAAAGTTGAACATATTAAATCCGAATATTCCGACTTATACTTACATGAGACATTTTCTAGCATTCCCTACATCAGGATTATTTTTCTACGTAGAAATAAATTATGATAAAGCATAATTGATCGGAATATTTCTTATAAAGATATAGCAGAACTGTTTATTTAAAGTCGCAAATTATCTATATAAATTTAGAGTCCAACTATAATACAATTCCTATTTTCGGGTCAAATTGGAAACAGTCACACACAGGCATGATTATCGAGTCTCCTAATCACGATTATGATTCTACTATCATTGGCCATCCGGATAGTATCGATGGAATGAGATATAAATATAGCAGGGAGATACTTTCAATGTCTATTCAATGAATCAAAATGATGGAATACATATTAATCCAATTTGGACACCAACACTCCTTCCATTACTTTGAATTTCCATAGTGCAAAATTTAAGCATATTTTAGTCGATATCCTGATCACTTTGTAAATAATTTTTGAATTTTTCTTGTTGTATATTCCCTGACGAAGATTACAGTGTGTAATTGAAAGCTTGGACAATAAATAATATTTCATAATGTCATCCATGATTTCCGTAGAAGAAGAAATATATAGACAACACCGTGGATGGAAGTACATAAAAGATGTAATAAAACAACGGCACGGAACGCCAGATCTCAAATCCTTACAACGCTTTGAGAAATTAAAAATTAAACAAAGTCAAATCAGCAACAACATCATCTTTCTAAAACAATGCAAACGAAATTATGTGATTCCTAAAGGACTCCGCCTAAAGAATCCAATTCAAGACTACATTCCAACGCAAGTAATTGTGGAGAAAGCCAGCCAACAATTGGTCAAATCTATTCTGGGGAAAAATTATAAAGATCTTCAAAATTTGGACAAGCTCACGAATAATTTGAGTGAACAACTGAACTCCAAATTTCAAGAATTGTGGATGGAAATACAAGATATACTTGTTCCTCGATTAACTCAAATTTCTACAGAAGTCAAAACACGCGAGAAACTACTCGATGAAAAGATGAGTAAAAATGTTTTGATTGAAAAGCAGCCAACCTTCATCAATTTGAGCAAAAGGAAACTAAATCAAAACGAGGAAGAACTCTTAAATTTAGGATTAAATTATGCTGTCCCACCATCAAAACCAAACCACACTCTTATCGAAACAGCAATCAATATTGAAAAGCGTCTGCAAGATATAGACAATGGTATGATGCATGAGATAAAAAAGAACAGCATCCGCACAGGCGCTTCACAAATTATTCGATCAAATAAATCCAAAACTCAGATTCCACCATCCTACTTCAAAAAGCTAATTCCATCAATCAAGTCGCTAAAAAATGACAACTCAATAGTAATCCTACCTGCTGACAAAGGAAACTGCACAGTAATTATGGACAGATTCGACTATGAACAAAAATGCCTAACAATGTTAACAACTTCAACTTACACTACCAGGACAGTAGATCCTTCTCCATATTATGAGAAGAAAATCGGACAAATGTGTCTCAAAATGAAGAAAGAAAAGAAATTATCCGAACACGAATACAGAACTATTGTCCCCCGTCAATCATTAACTCCAGTATTTTATGGTCTTCCTAAAATCCATAAAAAAGACGTCCCACTACGACCAATTGTAGATTTTAAGAATTCCCCTTCATTTCATCTGGCTTCACACCTCAACATCATACTGAAGTCCATTTCAAAGAAGACCTACGCCGTCAAAAACTCATATGAATTTGTCGATCGCCTAAACAAAGTCAAAGTCAAACCAGGATACATTTTAGGCTCGTTTGATGTTACATCCCTATACACCAATGTCCCACAACAACATACAATAAACTACATAAAACAGAGACTAAAAGAAGAAAAAAGATGGAAACAGATAACAAATTTGGAAGAAATAGACATATTAGAAATGCTTAATTTATGCCTAGAATGTAACTATTTCTTGTTCCGGGGAAACCTGTACTATCAGAACGATGGCGTACCAATGGGATCACCAGTGTCACCAATATTTGCAGATTTATTTATGGAAAGTCTAGAAGAAAACATAGTCCCTGTGAACCCGTTCATATCATATTGGAATAGGTACGTGGATGATATATTTGCAATCATAAAAGGGAGAAAATGTAATGACATTCTCACCAAGTTGAACTCTTTCCACAATAACATTAATTTCACATTGGAAATTGAGAACGAAGGAAAATTAGCATTCCTGGATGTACACTTGTCAAAGAATCCAGATAACACGCTGTCCCGAAAAGTCCATCGCAAAAATACCCACACAAATCGTTATCTACACTTCACATCATACCATCATATGTCACACAAGATCTCAGTAGTGGACGCCTTGTTATATAGAGCTTTCAAAATTTGCGATAACCAATCCATAGATGACGAACGTTTGCACATAAATAGGATTTTGAAAGATAATGGTTATCCTATTTCCCTGATTCAAAGACGGCAAGCCAAAATGAAAGAAAAAATGCTACATCCACCCTTAAATCAAAGCCATTTAAATGATCCTACACCACGTTTCATCCTTCCCTTTCTTGGACCAATTACAAGCAGATTGACAGAATTTTTAAGAAGAAAGACAAATTTTGAATTTGGATACATCCCTGGGATCAAAATACGTACTTTCCTCAGCTCCCACAAAGATAAAAAAACAAAACGTTCATGTGGAATCTACCAAATTTCTTGTCAAAACTGTCCGGAAAGATATATAGGCGAAACTAAGCGTACTCTTGAAATTCGAATCAGTGAACATAGAAGAGATCTCAGAAATATGACAGAAACGTCAGCAATTGTCCAACACATCAACAACAACCCTACGCATCAAATCAATTTTGCAGACGCAAACATAATTCATTTTGAACCAAGATATTTTGCAAGAAAATTTAAAGAAGGCTTGTACATTAACGCTGAACAGCGTTCGATGAATCAAAATGATGGAATACATATTAATCCAATTTGGACACCAACACTCCTTCCATTACTTTGAATTTCCATAGTGCAAAATTTAAGCATATTTTAGTCGATATCCTGATCACTTTGTAAATAATTTTTGAATTTTTCTTGTTGTATATTCCCTGACGAAGATTACAGTGTGTAATTGAAAGCTTGGACAATAAATAATATTTCATAATGTCATCTATGATTTCCGTAGAAGAAGAAATATAGGGAGATACTTCTTCGCGTTAATTATCTGAGATTAAGTAGCTATATAATTATATTTTGACATAATTTGAATAACTTCAGCTACCGATTTTTTAATTGATGCAATTAAGTAAAGTTTATAAGTAAACATTTGTTTTTACAAATGCACAGTTACGAAAGTTGTTTATTTTCATACTTAATATCAGAAGCGTCATTCGAAGTATACAGATCGACCCATTAAAAACATGGTAACATTTATGTGAGATAAATTGAGAAGATTTAACCTAATTTACATACGTTTGTAGCTATTTTTAAACTAATCTTGCAATTACTTTAAACTACATAATAGGGAGGTACATGATTACGGTATATATTTGAAAATACATTCCACTTCATTGTAGTCAGCGTTCTTAACGAATTGTATAGCCGTTAGTACCTACGTCTATACATCTATTTACATGTAGGCAGGCAAATCTTGTACATGCCTACAACATTGTATCATGGATAGAAATCGTAAATCTTCTATGTTAGTATTATTCGTTCTCTTCTCTCCCTGTTCTTCTGAATAGAAATATTCTTAAAAAATTTTATTTTCGAATCGTCCATTATAAATAGGGAACGACATCAATGCATTCCCAACTTTTGTAGGAAGCGACTCCATATAAGAAATTCTAAACGAATCCTTCACCTGAAGTAGCCTATTTTCAAAAATACCGCCCTCAATACATATTGATCTAATAGATTTTACCTTTCTGTTGAACACTTTAAACGTCATTCGTCCTGACCTCCACGAATCAGGAATTCTGTTCACAAGATCGCGTCGCATAAGATCTGTACTCTTGCTAATGTGAGAAATGCATGATAACGTCTTATCAATACCAAACGTTAAAGCAACCAGCCAAGCTAGAAGGAGTGTAAATAAAATTGAATTGATGTGGTTATCTTTAGAATGGGAGAAAAGTATGAACAGCATGTATCCCATGTAGATGTAGAAAAACCATAAAATTCCAAATCCAAGAAATATTAAGGGCTGAATACCTGCATGCCCGGTTTGAAGAAGAAGTTGTACATGAGCAAGATTAGCGAATATCTGATTTTTAAATAGGAAAGGTGGTATTCCTATGAATTGTTTATAATGCAATGCGTAGAATAAATATCGATGAAACATTTTTAATAACGTAGCCCCAACGAGAGAAATTGTGCCTAAATAAGTGGCAATTTCATAGTTGCAGACAGAAAATATGAAATACCGGAGAAATCCGGAACACAATTGAAGAGGATCTTTGTTCATATGCGGAAGGTGGTACATTGGGAGTATATTAACCACGCCGACAAGAATTGATACAAATGCAGCGTAGAGCGAGGATAAGGCAAAGAAAATATAAATGCAGATGTCCACGTATTCCCTGTTTCGGAATGTCTTAAAAGTAATTAGCTTTGGCATTTGTTCTGCGAAGAAATAACATTTACTTAGAAATTTAATATTAACCGAAGATAATTTTCGAGTACCTGCTTTTAGGGCTTTTTCAGCCTGATTTGTGAGGTTCCAGCAGTCAACCAAACTGTCCCCGTATTGTATGAGTATCATTTTAAATGTTAATCCCAGAATTATGCAAATTATATGACAAATTAATAAAATGATAATCAACGGGCGATCTTGTGAAGTGTCAATCTCACACCTGGTCTCCATTAGTAGATGAATTGGCGGATAAAAAATGCAGAAAATTGCCGAGAAATATGTGAAGGTGGATGTTACTTTGGAGACATCGTTTTTAATACAAATTTTCAGACCTATTTTATCCCAGCGGATTGGACATGTTCGAAACTTGTTGAAAATGGTTGAATTTAGTTCAAAAACTTTACATATTAATGGAGACGACATGGCTTGAAAGGTTGGAAGTTACAACTACGGATTTGACTACAATATTAATTATGATAATAGGAATACATAAACCAGGTTAGGATTATTAACTTCACTATCTTTTGAATTCACACAATTACGCAATTCTTTATATGGAGACTAAATATGTGAGCATAATTACGATATAAAATTAATCCCCGAGACCGAACTAGGTCGAATCCAATTTGAAATAATATGTAATTATTTCGTGTACGATGATTGGAGCTGGCGTATTTTTCGAAGGTTTTGTCAAAAACAACACAATGTGGAATATTTGAACATTTTAATTTTTTACTCCTCATTAACCTTTACGCAACTGATTAATCTGAAGTACATTTCTTGAAGCAATGTTATTACGTTTTTCACAAATGCTTGTAGGTTGGTAAAACTACCTTTACAGTACGCAAAATATCAGGAATATTTTGTGGTATCATTATCTAAAGAGTTGACTAGGTTAATTACACATAGCTGGATATTATGTTAAGGTTTAAAATTGAATAGACTATATTTACTTTATCGGGAAGGTAATCAGCAATTTTAGATAGTATTTATTCCACATACAAAATTCTCCATAACAAAATTAAAACCAATCAATTCCTGGGAAAGTTTACCTCCACGCCAATTGGGTTAATTGCTTTCACCTTCCAACCAAAAACTGTTCGCGACGAGTTTCCAGACGTGTTGGAAGCGATCATTTATGGCTGGCTGCCATCCTTATCGAGTGCGTTTTGCATACCCCGGCCGCACATATAGTGTCACATATCGTTTGTAGTAAGTTAGTGCCCCAACTTTGTTATCACTTCAATGCAAAATAAAGCCTTGCAGGGTGCATTCCGCAATATGGAACTGGGTAAATATATTTATCAGTTAATTTCTAATAAGATTAGAGGTTTGCAAAAGCTGAGCATATGAAATCCGAATATTCCGACTTATGTACGTAGCATTTACGTAGCATATCTATAAGCATATCCTAAATCAGAGTTAATTTTGTAAGAATAATTGTACAGAGCATTTCCTATACATAAATATAAATCGGAATTATTTTTGGCAACATATATATAACTTAAAAGTTAACTAAAATGCAATTACGCTTTTTGTGCACACTTTGAGATGTATGGAACACATGTTTACATGATTACATTCATGAGTCAAATTATGATTAGCACTAAACTCTCATTTGTCACAGCGAAGCGAAATATATAAGATACCAGGATGAGATGATGTCATGACAAGACTCAATTAAGTTTTACTGATGTAGACACGCTTTTATATAATTAATTTATTAAGTTAAGAATGCCAAGAACACAAAAAAATTATACTAAAAAAATTTTTATCGTCTAATTTGGGTAGTTTTTGTCGGTAATTCGATACTGTCCTGGTTGTATCATACCCAACAAAGACGGAAAGCAACTTTACGATAATTTACAAATAATTATAAAAAAGTTATGTTCTAAAAACTATTTTTCTCATAAAGTTTTCGTCGTCTAAATTGCTTAAATGGAGTATATAACGGATACTTCAAAAATTGTTGTGGAAAGTTCACTCAACCAAAATATTTTTCCACACAAGTTCTAATCTAAATATCTAGCAAATAAACTTTTCCTATGAGAAAGTGCGAATAATTATGTCCATGTGTACTAGAAGCACGAAAACTTTGTTAATTTGTGGGAAACTAACCTAGAGGAAATTGTTGGAAGCATGTGAAATTTTCATGTTATGCCTATCCTTAAAGAAAATAACACTGTAATTACAGGCTATAATTTCGAAATAGTGGAAATAAGTTTTAGAAAATATTTGACGAACTTCCAACAAAGTTATTATTTGTTCTTGAAAATTTGGCTTGACGTAATCTCATGTTCATTCAAATATTGCAAAAATTTCGTTTAAGTTTGATTGCAATTATTGACTTGTGATGAAGGTAAATGTTGAGCCAAATTAACACCATGTTCTTAAGAATAGTCTTTATTATGCCACAGACTACCGGTTTCGCTTTGTTTTAGCTTCTTCAGGTCTTAGCGTGACATTAAACTGATTTAAATTATGAGTTGCTTAATCGACATTAGTAATAATGATGGTGTTATCTGTTAAGTATCTCAGTAATGTAGGATGTATAAGTATATTAATTGATTTTTACGTATAAATGGCTTATAAATTGTTTTTACTTATAAAAATAATTAAAAGTATGGAGTAAAACAATAAAAAGGTATTACTGCTACTGGAACAACTTCATTACAAAATATGTGAGAATTTAATTTAGAAAATATTTGACGAACTTCCAACAAAGTTATTATTTGTTCTTGAAAATTTGGCTTGACGTAATCTCATGTTCATTCAAATATTGCAAAAATTTCGTTTAAGTATATAACCTGACGCAGGAAATCCGCTTTAATCTAACTGACGAAAGTTGGAATGAATTATAGAAAACTTTTCTATAATTCCATTGTTGTCTAAGAACACGATGGATGCCTGTCAGAATAATTACAAACGCCCACACTGTGGAGAATAGTATAAGTAATAATGGTGACATTTTCATGTTGCTGTTTGATCTGGACGCACATTTCTTTATATCTTAAAGAAATTTTTGTGGAGCTATGTTTCCACTATTTCATCATAAGCGATAAACAAATAAGATTTTAATTTGACAAACGACTAAAAGCTGTGTTAGCCTATGAATTAAAATTTGTACAAATATGACCGAGCTTATCACATTACTGTCAGAAATTGACATCATGGCGCCTGGAAGCCATCTCCATATCGTCACAGATCAGCACAATTTGGACGCAAATATCCCCGTGGACTTGAAAATTCAAACTCCTAACACTTTCTATAACATGGCGTACCAACAGAATGATTCCGAAGCACTTCAGCCAGCACCGCGTATTTCACAAAGAAGTGTCAAGGCATCGTCCATCTTAAATATGGTAGTAATATTAATTCTGTCCCCT